AATGGAATGGGTTGTATGTTATGAAGCTGCGGTTACGACAAATATGCGGGTATATTCAAGATGAACCATAGCTGGTAGCAGGTGCACGGATTCATAAACCTTCGCTCGAACCTCCGCCCTACTGCGGCGGACGAGTTTCGCGGACGAGACCGTAACTCGGACTTTGCATTGGCCCACGAATATGGATACTGGACTAACTTCTTTTAGGCTCCTATTTATTCTAAATTCTGCCTCTATTCTAGTACTCACTATATTATGCTGTTATTCTAGTACTCTACACACTGTCCGTCAAGTAATCTCTAGATTACTCTGCTAATTTTTTCTCTACCACAAGATTCTACTCTATACTACTATTCATTTTTTGTATACTGTTTATTTAATATTATCATTTGCTTCACCGAGTCGTAGATCTAGCAGATTCACACTGATTCACGGTCGCAATCATGTCAAATGAGAACGTGAACCTATCCGTGATATGCTTCAGTGATGGGCTGCGCGTTTCATATCGCAGTCGCTTGGAATTCAAAGTTCCAGAGAGATAATAGATTGCTAGCAGATTTTTTTGCACTGCAATCCTTCAAATCCACTATCCCTGTGGAACAAGTACAAAATGTAATGCGTTCAAGGAAAAATGTAGGTTCTGAAAAGTTGGCTGAGGAGCTAGTCTAAAACTTTCTCGGAACTTGGGTCGTTGCCCGTATCTATTATGTGCTACATTTCTTCGTTTCCACCTATCTTGTTGTAACGATGACCCTTGTTCTGAACTAGCTTTCGTCAGCTTTAGACGGTCGTGCTTTTCGACAAACGCTCTAGCCGCTGTTTGAGAAATCTGCTGAGACATAAAAGAGCGTACCGATGCGACACGTTGTCTTCTTCAGCCGGCTTGACGCCTTCCTTTTGGATAGCAGCCTGACGCTGGACACAACCACTCACGATGGTCGAATGACAGTGTCCACGCTCTTCTTTCGTCGCCTCACTACGCTGATCTTATACATTGTCATCCACCATCTGTTCGTGTGATGGCGTACGTTTCAACATTATCTGGAACTGATGCTGAAGATCACGGACGTCTCCGTGCTTCTACGCGTGATGCCTCTCTCATTCATGAACTTCTCCGTGAAATACGTGAAGAAAATCATGATATGGAAGCCTTTTCTGCTGATTGCAACGATCATTGTGCTAATGCTGTAGTACGACCACCTGCACGACTTGGGATAGTTAGAACGCACAATCAGAATTGTGTCACTGGACTTCTTGCAGCCTTACAACATTCCATGGACCATGCCGATAGCTACCGTTCCCAGCCTGTGTTGCTTGAGGCTCCATCTACATGGAATTTTCAACCAGATGTAAATTATACTTTTGGTTCAGCTGCAACACGATCTTCCTCGTCAGATTCGTCATCCACACGTTCATCTTCACCTCCACCGCCACCAGGAACTTTTCGACGCGGTAATCCGCTTCATGGTTTTCGTGGTGCTGATCGTGATGTTGATGATGATGTGCAACTGTCAGATGTTCTTGAAGAGCTGAACTTACACGACAGTTCCAAGAAGGATGATCATGACACTCAACGTGATTGGGCTCTTTCCAAGTTTCGTGTGCCCAAGTCATACTTCATGAGATGTGCCGTCAAGTTTTCCAACACTATCAGTCAGAGTTCATTCTTTGGACTACGTGTGGGAACTGCTCCCCGGCGTCAGGTTTTTGGAAATGCTTGGGCGCTATTCTTGCCGGTTGTCAAAAATGGAACTATACCGAAAATTCTAAATCAAACACCGAGGTACAAATAACTTGGCAACTGATGAAATAGTGACATTCGAAGAAAATATGGGTGTTTCATTAGGAAATGAAGAGTTTGCCGGATGGTTAAATAAAGTAGGTGATGGACACAATCTTTTCGGGCGTAGCCTTGTCCGAACTTTAACATTAGTGTTTCCTACCGGAAAAAGATTGATTGATTGAATGTATACGCCGGAACTCATTGCGGATGCGAAATAACTATCAAAAGTTGCGTTGTTGATTAACGATTACGTGCTAACCATCTACTCAGACAATTCATGGGAACTTCCTGAGGGGCAA